AAAATAATTTAAAAGAAGTAGCCTCTAGAAATCCCTGCAATTTCTGATTTTGGGAAAATTTTTATTGGATATTAGGGTTTTATCTGGCTGATGCAGAGTTCTTCCCCTAACCCCTGTGTAACGAGAGTCTATCCACTTCACAGATAGTCGAATCAAGGTTACTTCAACTCAGAGCCTAATAGTGCAACATAAGGCAGTGTTTCCCAAGTTGTGTTCTATGAGATTCCATTCAGTGAGATGTTAATAAATATTCCATTAACAAAGAGGAAAAAATAAAATGTGGCCATACTTTTTCCTCTTTTTCCTCAATTTTATAATGTAAAATATTAACAGCAGAGAGGCATTCCCTATGAAAACTATGTTAGTAAAATGGCGCAGTGTTATCTGTGGCACCATCTATGCCCCAGACGCCATCTTGGACTCTGGCCCCTACTGCCGTTTCTGGAAGCCAGGTGACCAGATGGCCCAACCACAGGTGTCCGCTCCACCCCACCATCATGGGACTCACTGCTCCTACTTCTCTGCCCCCCGCCCCCACAACGCACAAAGGTTTAACAGGACCTGTTCCTGAACACGTGCTCTCTCTTGATCTCTCTCTTACGATGTCTTCCTCTCTATTACCCTCTCACCCTCTCCGTCCGGCCCATCAGGCTTTCCCCACCTGACAACAAACCTTTCCTCTAACTCCAGTCTTCTTATGTTAACACTTAATACAAAAACCATGTCTTGTCAAAGTTACCTTTGGTAAACCCTTAAATTGTCCACAAAGCAAAGCAAACAAAACTTCTGCCTCTTAATGGGTCCAACTGAAGCCAATTTTCCCTCCAGATCTGGAACAAGGTGCTGTTTTTCCAGTTTTGCTCCAGGTAAGGGTAAAAAAGTTGGCTTATTTTGCAAGCCACATCAGTGGAAAATTTGTATCTAGATTAATGGACTGAGTGGCAAGATCTCCCTCTAGCACATGGGAACGACTTGGGGAGCCTCTGGCTCAGGTGTCCTCTCTTGCTTACCCTGGGGCACTCCATTGCTAAATTGTTGCGCTGCAAATACTCTCTCTGGCCGGTGTTGTGGTGCAGTGGGTTAAGCTGCTGCTTTTAACACCAGCATCTTATATCTGAGTGCTGGTTCAAGTCCCAGCTGCTCCACTTCTGATTTAGCTTTCTGGTAATGCACCCAGGAAGATAGCAGATGGTATATCGCCCAAGTACTTGAGTCTCTGCCACCCATGTGGCCACTTGTGGAGTAAATCAGTGTATAGAAGATCTCTCTCTTTCTGCCTTTCAAATAACTAAATACATAGGGCCGGCGCCGTGGCTCAATAGGCTAATCCTCCGCCTGTGGCGCCGGCCCACCGGGTTCTAGTCCTGGTCGGGGCGCCAGATTCTGTCCCGGTTGCCCCTCTTCCAGGCCAGCTCTCTGCTGTGGCCAGGGAGTGCAGTGGAGGATGGCCCAGGTGCTTGGGCCCTGCACCCCATGGGAGACCAGGAGAAGCACCTGGCTCCTGGCTTCGGATCAGCGCAGTGCGCCGGCCGCAGCACACCGGCCACAGCGGCCATTGGAGGGTGAACCAACGGTAAAGGAAGACCTTTCTCTCTGTCTCTCTCTCTCACTGTCCACTCTGCCTGTCAAAAAAAATACATAAATCTTTAAATACATAATAAATTGCTTTCTTTCTCCATTCCAACACTGAACCTGTATTACTGAATCTGAAGGAACTAAACCCATGCAGAATATGGTACCACTGGGGCCAGCGCTGTGGCACAGTAGGCTACACCTCTGCCTGCAGCGCCAGCATCCCATATGGACACCGGTTCTAGTCCCAGCTGCTCCTCTCCTGATCCGACTCTCTGCTATGGCCTGGGAAAGCAGAAGATGGCCCAAGTGCTTGGGCCCCTGCACTCCCAGATGTGGGAGACCTGGAACAAGCTCCTGGCTCCTGGCTTTGGCTTGGCCCAGCTCCAGCCATTGTTGCCATTTGGGGAGTGAACCAGCTGATAGAAGACGTTTCTGTCTGTCTGTAACTCTGCCTCTCAAATAAATAAAATCTTTTTAAAAAAAGAATGTGGTACCACCATCTAAAAGAAAAATATTTAACATTGTAAGGTGTTCTTACATTTTAAGAGATTTATTTATTTATTTGAGAGGAAGAGTTACAGACAGAGAGGGAGAAATAGAGATCTTCCATCTGCTAGTTCACTCCCTAAATGGCTGCAACAGCCAGAGCTGGGCAAGGCTGAAACCAGGCACCAGGAACTCCACCTGGTCTCCCATGTGGATGGCAGGAATTCAAGAGCTTGAGCCATTATCTGCTGCTTTCCAGGCATATCAGCAAGGAGCAGGATTGGAAGTAGAGTAGCAGAGGCTCGACCCAGCATCCTAGTGTATAATAACTACCATTCAGTAATTTAACCTGCTGCACCACCATACCTGCCACTACTGATGGCACTATTAGCAATAAGAACTAACAGTTAATAAGGGCTTACTATGTGCCATATATCTGATAGCTTGGTATTTATTAACTCATTCAATAATCCCCATTTTACAGATGAAGAAACTAAGGTTCAAGGAGGTGCAGGGTTTTTGAATCCACATTTCAAGATCTCAAGTCCCAAGCAGAGATGTGGTTAACCTGAGGGTTGAAGGAGAGAACAAATATAAAACTACCTAATATATTTTCAAAGATGGTTCTTGCAAACAGCAAGAAGCTAACAGGTTCTTAGTGTGTGCCAGTCACCACAATAAACATTTCCCTTCCTTGTCTTGATTGTCATAACAACTCTGTGAGCGGACACAGAATCGAAGGCTCAGAGAAGTTAACCTGGCCAAGGGAACACAGCAGGGTTATAAAATAATGCAGAAGTTGACAGTTAGTAAGATTGCTCCAACTCTTAGTAAACTGCTTCCTGCTATTGTCACTGCAGAGAACAAGGGCATTTGCCACCAGGGAAATGCAAATCAAAACCACAGTGAGATACCACTTCAATACCACTTCATACCCACAGGAATGGCTGTAACTGGAGTGGGTGTTGTGCTGCAGCAGGTTAAGCCTCCTCTTGGGATGCCAACATCTCATATTGGGAGTGCCTGGTTCCAGTCCTGGCTACTCTGTTTCAGATCCAGCTTCTCACTCTGGGAGTGTTAATTCTCACCCTGGGAGGCAGCAGGGGATGGCTCTGTTGGTTGGGTCCCTGCCACACACACTGGAGACCCAGATGGAGTCCCAGACTCTGGCTTTGGCCTGACCCAACCCCAGCTGTTGAGAGCATTTTGGGAGAGTGAACAGTAGATGAAAGATCTCTCTGCTGGTACCGCGGCTCACTAGGCTAATCCTCCGCCTTGCGGCACCGGCACACTGGGTTCTAGTCCCGGTCGGGGCGCCAGATTCTGTCCCGGTTGCCCCTCTTCCAGGCCAGCTCTCTGCTGTGGCCAGGGAGTGCAGTGGAGGATGGCCCAAGTGCTTGGGCCCTGCACCTGCATGGGAGACCAGGAGAAGCACCTGGCTCCTGGCTTCAGATCAGCGCAGTGCGCTGGCCGCAGCTCGCCGGCCGCAGCGGCCATTGGAGGGTGAACCAATGGCAAAGGAAGACCTTTCTCTCTGTCTCTCTCTCTCACTGTCCACTCTGCCTGTAAAAAAAAAAAAAAAAAATCTCTCTATCTGTTTCTCTGCCTTTCAAATAAGTAAAAAGAAATAAATGAAAAAGAAATATTAAGAAAGACTGAGTGTAATAAAAATGACAGATAACAAGAAGCACTGGTGAGGATGTGGAGGAGCGGAGCCTCACCCCATGCTGGTGGGAGAGTGAAAAGGTGCAGCTGCCCTGGGGAACAGTCCAAGCAGTCCCATGCCTGGGCACGCCACGAGAACGTGAACCTCGTCGTCAGCAAGCTCTGCGCACAGACACGTATGGCAGCCTTGTTTGTGAGCGCCCCAAACAGAAACCCCCCCCAGTGTCCATCAGTGCTGAGGGGGTGTGCACACGTCCCACGAGGATGAGCATCAGAACACACTGAGCAAACAAAGCGGTCACAAGGGACCACACCGTTCACCACTGTGTGCATGTGCAGTGTCCACACTAGGCGAATCCAGAGACACAAGGCAGACCAGCAGCTTCCTGGAGCAGAGTGGGAGTGGGAGGTCTGAAGTGATGAGTAAGGGGCTCTTTATGGGGTGATGAAGTGCACTGAAATTGACTATGGTGATGGTTGCCTAACTGTGCACCTACTATAAACTGTTCTTAAAAACAAAGTTATTAATATTTTTGAAAGACATACACAGAAAGAGAGAGAGATATCTTCCACCTGCTGGTTCACTCCCCAAATGCTTACAACAGCCAGGTCTAGGCCAGGCCAAAGTCGGGTACTCAAAACTCCACCCAGCTCAAGGACTTGTGCCATCATCTGCTTCCTTCCCAGGAGCATTATGGAGATGATAGATTGGAAGTGGAACAGCTAGGACTCAAACCAGCATTCCCATAAGAGATGAAGGAGTCCCGAGTAGCAGCTTCATCTACTGTGCCATAATGGGTGCCTCCAAGATAGTAAATGGGTGAACTGTGTGGTATGTGAATTCTATCTCAACAAGCTGTTAAAACAAGCAAACACTCAAGAAAAACAAGTCCTCCCAGCAGTGGGCAGGACCTAAAGGGACATTTACAAGCCTGGTTCTCTTCCCCCTGACTGTGATGGCTCTGATGCCAGCATGTTCACTGTGTGCTCTGAGAGCCTCCTCCCTGGGAGTCAGGGTGTCGCCCCGCCTTGTCTCACCTGCGCCAGGCATGCCCTGCCCTGCTCACCCTGGCAGGCCTGCGCGGAAGGTGGGTGGAGAAGCCTCCCGCGGCTTCTTTCTGCTGCAGCCCAGAGCTGCTTCCTCCTGCTGCTTCCTCCCACCCCCAGCCTGCGTGTCTCAGATTAGAAAATCCCGGTGGATTTCAGCTGCACCTCGGGGCTCTTCTGTGCTGTCAACCACTGCAGATTTGAGGTCTTCCCCACACCCCACTTACCTAACATAGGAAAAGACGATCACGTGCAAGACCCACTTAATGGTGCCATAATTCACGCTCTGGATCCGGGCGACTTTGTTTGTCTCGTACTGGAAAACGTCATTCCAGCTGCAGCAGGCCGGCATGGTGAGCCACTCCCCCCTTCCCTCCCTCCTGGGGTGGCCAGGCTCAGCCTTCCCAGGCAGGGCCAGAGCAAGCCCCTCCAGGAGCAGCAGAGTGAAACTGTGCTGATTCTTAGCAGGAGCCTTTAGCTTTGAGCTCCTCCAATGAGTGCAGGGTGGGGGCGGGTCCTGGCAGCTGCCCCAGATGTGACTGGGAGGAACAAGAAGAACCAAGTCTTATCCGCCCGCCCGCCTGGCTGGCAGAGGACCCTGCCCCAGCTGGCCTCCCCCAGATGCCTGCACAAAGATGGTGTTCAGAGGACGGGCATTTTTAGGATTCCTGCTTTCCCCATTTCCCCTCCACTTTTTTGGACATTTTTCCCCTGGGAGAGAGGGGCAGTGTTTCAAATGTCATGATCCCCAGCATTCCCATTGTGCGTCAAGAAAGGGTCTGGATCTTTCCCTCGCCTCAAGCCCCACTCAGAGACTGACTGAGAACGCTTTATTCAGCCCCAGATGTGGGGGAGCACGGGATGAATGAAGGGCTCCCCCCTGCCTCTCTTGTGACGCTCCAGTCTGCAGATGGTGGGGGCAGGGCCTTTCTCCTTTGGTCCTCTCGATTTTTCTCTCCCCCATGCACTGTGACCAGGGAGGTCAACCCACAAGGTAGCCCGGTCATCCTCAGACCGCCAGGAGCACAGTTCTAGTCCAGCAGTGCCAGGCCTGCTGACCCATTCAGTGAGGGAGACCAGCCCGAGGGGAGCCAACACTCACCCAGGGAAGAGGCGAGGGCCCTGCGCCAGGTGGGAGCAAAGATGAACTCATGTTGCAGTGGGCCTGGAGCAAAGCAGGTTTGTACAAAATGCTCCGCCTTTTTAAAATTTAATTTAATTTTTTTTGACAGGCAGAGTGGACAGTGAGAGAGAGAGACAGAGAGAAAGGTCTTCCTTTATCGTTGGTTCAGCTTCCAATGGCCGCTGCGGCTGCTGGCTGAAGCCAGGAGCCAGGTGCTTCTCCTGGTCTCCCATGGGGTGCAGGCCTAAGCACCTGGGCCATCCTCCACTGCACTCCCTGGCCACAGCAGAGAGCTGGCCTGGAAGAGGGGCAACTGGGACAGAATCCGGTGCCCCAACCGGGACTAGAACCCAGGGTGCCGTCGCCGCAGGCGGAGGATTAGCCTAGTGAGCCGCGGTGCCGGCCTCAAAATGCTCCGCCTTGAATCTAGATTGCCAAGGGGACCCAGGACTGTGTTTCCTTGGAAGCATAAAGCTGAAATAGATGTCGGATGTTGCATCTGGAAAGCCTGTATGTGCAGCTCTGCACCTGTGTTGAGTCTGCTTCTCTGTCAAGCTGCCTTTGCCGCTCCAGGGGGAAGTGGGATCTTTCATTCTTGTTCATGTTCTTTCAAAGAGTGGAGTGTTGTCAGTGATTTTAGAGGACGGTGGCTCACAGGAAGTGAGAAGGCAGCAGTCGCTCGGGGCTGGGGCAGGCGAGGCTGCTGGGGCTCTGCAGCTACAGGGAAACACTGTTCCCTTCAGAAGCTGCCTCCATCCGTGTCTGTTACTCCAGCCCTCTATGTAGCTGGGCAAATTGTTACTTTCCCAGGCTGAGCGGATTTGTACTTTTTCACTCACATGAGCTGCATCAGGGCTCCCTTCTGTCCTGGCTTCCAGTGCAGGAGATGAGAGCAGTGAGGTTGGGTGTGAAACCCCAGTCCCCTCCTCCCCACTTGCCTCCTGGTGAGGTTCCCAGTTGGTAAGGCCCCCTCCCCACTGCCATGGTTGGCAGCTGCAGGCAGCTCACTACCCCTTGTGGCTTGCCTTTGCAAATGGTCCCATTGTTAGTTACCCACCACTTTCCACTCAGGACTCCGAGTGGCAGTCACCTTCATCTGTGAGAAGAGGGGAAACCATAGGACCACCAGGAAGGCAGGAAAGCCTGATGGTTAGCATGCAGGTCCTGGCTGCCTGGCTTCCCACCCTGGCTTTACATTGTTTTGTTGTCTTTCTGATGACCTCTTAACACTGATCCCCCTTCAGCCCTCTGTCTACCAGTTCACCACTCCATGGTTACTCTTCTCAATAAGGTTGTTCGTGACTTCTTGGTTGCCAAATCTAGCGGACATATTTTATTGATCTGTTGGGTGTGGTCAGCACCACCGACCACACTCTCCTCCTTGGAGTGGTTTCTGTGGGGAGCAAACCGGACTAGACTGAGTTACTGGAATTAAGACTTATTCTATGCATCTGCTCTCCCACAATATGGCGCTGGGAGAGAAGTAAACAGCTTCCGCACAGCTGCCTCCAGTTCAACTAATAAACTGTAGGACTTGCTCCTGATTGGAGGAGAGCAGCGTACTCGGCGTGTGGGCAGCCGAGTTAGGATTGGCGGAGGAGGACTATAAAGGAGGAGAGAGACAGCATGCACCGGGAACATCTATGGGGAACATCTAAGGGAACATCTGCGCAGCCCCCGAGAAGAGCCGGCCAGCGGTGTGCCGCTCCCCTGCGGAAGTGGGGAATGTGGCCGGGGGAACTGCCCTTCCACGGAGGTGGAAGGGATAGTAGCCAACCCGGGAAGAACCAGCAGCAAACCCGGGGAGGGCCGAGCAGACGAAAGAACAGCGCAGGGTCCTGTGTTGCTCCTCCACGAAGAGGGGGAGCGACAGTTTCTGTCCTTGATTTCTCTGATCCCTCTGGGTCCCACGTTCTTTTGGCTTCTCATTTGCACTTCTATGACTCTTTGTATTAGCCTTCTTTTAAGAAATGAATTTATTTTCATTTTACTTGAAAGAGAGACAGAGACTTAGATGGAGACGACAGAGATCTTCCATTCACCATTTCACTTCCCAAACACCTAGAACAGCCAGGGCTGGGCCAGGCTGGAGCGGGGAACTCAGTCCGAGTCTCCCATGTGGATGGCAGGGATCCGGGTACTTAAGCTGTCATCTGCTGCCTCCCAGGGTGTGCATTCATGGGAAGCTTGAGTTGGAAGTGGAGCCAGGTCTTGAACTCAGAAACAGATATGGGAGGCATTCCAAATGGCATTTTAACCACTGCACCAAACACTTGTCCATCTTCTCTTTCTATGGCTCTCTTCTCCCCATAAATGTTGGTTCCAGCAAACTCTCTCAGCACTTTTTATGTTTGTCAGCCAAGACCAGACAGGTTATGCTACAGTCACAAAGTGCCCTCAAAATCTGTGACTTAAAATAATGATGATTTATTTTTCCCCACACTGCATGTCCACCCTGGGTTACCCAGAAGGCTCCGCTCTCTGTAGTCACTCAGAGACCATGGCTAACAGAGCACCTGTTGTCTTGAGCATGTCAGTGAGAACTCTGGAGGGTTCAAAATAGCAATTAAATGCTGTGACCTAGAAAGGATGTGCTCACAACTGCTTTATAGCTAATTGGTCAAAGTTAGTCACTTGATCTTGCCCAGCCCCTTGGGAGCCAAAGACCGTAATCCTCCCTTATGTCCCTCATGTACCCAGCATGAAAAACAGCAGAGAGACCTGGTGAACAGTGCTAATATCTATTGCATCTTCTTCCTGGAAATTTCATCCACTCACATTATTTTAAAAATCATAAAATGCTGAAAGAGAAAATGGATGGAAGGAAGGGCATATGTTTAATAATCAGAGAAGGTAGCTGGAAACAGGAACTACTACACAATTTATAGGCCCAGTGCAAAACAAAAATGTGGAATCCCTTAATCAAACATTAACTGTTTCATCGAAGTGCCTAGGTGTAGGTCCTGGTTCCAATTCTAGCTTCCTGCTAATGTGCACCCCAGGAGGTGGTGTCCCAGGTACTTGGGTCCCTGTCACCCCTGTGGAAACCTGCACTGAATTCTCGGCTTCTGCCTTTGACCTAGCCCAGCAATGTCTGTAGCAGGCATCTGGGAGTGAACCAGTACACAGAAGAATCTCTCTCTCTCTGTATCTCTGCCTTTCAAATAAAGTTTTAAAAATAAATTCATTTTTAAATATGAAGAATTTCAATAAGGCAACACCAACAGGTGCTTTCCAAGCACAGTCCCCATGTGATGGCTCGAGCCCCATGCCCATGAACTTATGTATCTGGACAGATAAACAAGGTGCTCTCTGTTGAGAAAATTGGAAGAATTAGCGTCTGCGTGAGACTTACCTTTATCATGACTGCATTTTTTCTACTATGTGTATGTTTGTCTTTAAAAAAAAAAAATCACCAAATGCAAAATCTGTCTCCAGGCCAAACCTGCCTTCCGAGCTCCACCCCTGCACGGCCTCTGAACCTCCAGACCCAAAGATGCCACCCACACTTCAAATCACATCTTCAGAAACGGTTCCTGCTCCCAGAAAGTAACAGTTCGAGTAAGGACTCGTGAGGGAGGAGACGGCGCGAGGACTACCTTTCCTGTAAGCTTGGCTGTGAGGGGAAATAGAGGTAAGACGGGTTTTTAATGAGGGCCACTGGGGGTCAAGGGCACATGTTGGGGGAGGAGCTAAGAGGGGCGCACATGAGTCATTTGAAAAACATGATGGCCTGGGTGGAAAGTGGAAAATGGCGGCCTCTGTTTCTTTGTAGGAAGCAGGAAGCCAGGAACAGGGATTGAAGGGTCTGAGGGTGAATTTCTTAGTCCCCGGTTTTTGTATGCATTTGTTTCTATGACTGAAAAAGTCAAGTGACTTTTTTCAGAAAAGAGAGGGTTTTTTGTTGTTGTTGTAGACACTCGTCACACAGAACTCAAGTGCAGGAAATGTGGGCCAGCTTCACGAGAACCTATTAATAGAGTCGAACTAAACTGCTCTGCCCTGCGGTTTTCCTTTCAGCGGGCTGACCCTGTGCCGCCCGCCCTCACTGTCTCGCGCACACACACTGCGTATTTCTAGGCGCCATCTTTCCCGCTTCCGGGGCTTCTGGGAAGCCAGTGGCCCAACGGTGAATCTGATTGGTGTAACTATTTGCCCGTGGTCCAATCAGCTGTGACCATGGGCGGGGCCTCGGAACACCATCTCAGGGTCCCCTGTCTCAGGGAGAGGCACGAGGGAGGGAGAGAGGAGAGACGTGTGGCTCACAGAAATGTAGACCTGCGAGGCTGGGGGTGCTGCTGGCCGAATACCCCAGTTCCCCTCTCAGGTGGGACAGCACTGAGGCCCTACTAGGCAATCTCCCCAA